GTACTGGGAGCAGGATGGGTGCCGAGCCCCCTGTTATGGGGAGTAGGATGGGCTGAGCCCCACCGTACTGGGAGCAGGATGGGTGCTGAGCCCCCTGGTATAGGGAGTAGGATGGGCTGAGCCCCGTGCTGCCGAGAGCAGGATCGGTGCTGAGCCCCACAGTACTGGGAACAGGATGGGTGCCCGAGTGCAGGGACAGGAACGCTGCTCCTGAGACCAGCTTGTGGCTAACAGGAATTTTTATTAAGAAGCCTTTAAAGAAATCCATGGGAAATAGCCCCGACACAGCAGCACAGCCCTGCAGATGCATCGCGGGAGCCGGGAGATGCCAGGTAGACACAGGATCCAAACCCCCTGGCCTCTCCCTGCAGTGTGAGAGGAACACCCCTCCCAGACTACCAGCAGAGGAGAGTTTGGGAATGGGAGCATCTTACTGCTCTCAGCCCTCATCTCCCAACATCCTGCACAGCCAAAGGACAACCAACCTGTGTCCCGGCCTGCGGCACAGCCAGTGCAGAGAGCCTTGGACCAGGGCAGGACGAGATCCAAGGGGAAGCTCATAGGAGGCAAACAGTCCAGCCATGGTGTCTCTGGGAGCTCGGAGTAGGTTTTTTGGGCAGGCTCAAGGCCTCACTGCACTCAGGAGCGGCCAGAGTCTCTGGAAAAGGCCTGCTCCCTGTGCCTGGAATGAGATTCCCAGGATCTGCCTCCCCTGGGGGACACATCTCGCCGACTGCTGTGCCCGTTGCTCCTCCTGCCCGTCTCCTCCCTCTTTTCCCGATCTTCCCAGGAGCTGCTCTGTCCCCTCTGCTCCTGGCAGCTCTTGTCCCCTCTCCTCTCCGTGGGCCGCTGGTGCCGCCGCTCCTCCTCCTCCCGCTGTGTCCTGCTCCCAGGGTTCCTGTCGGAGCCCCGGGGGGGCAGCTGGCTTCCGCTGGCGTAGCGCTCATAGCCAGGATCCTCCTTTTCCTTCTTAATCTTGATCCTGGGCTGTGACTCCTCTGTGCTTGCTCGCTTCCCAGCCAGTGGGCTCGGCTTCTGCCGCTCCACTCTGCTCCGCTGCTTCTCTGGAATACAGGTTCACACTTCGGGAAGGAGCCCCCTGCACAATCCCAACTCCACTCCCACTGCAAGTTGCCTCCATCCACTCAGTTTCCCAGCCTGGTTCCCCTTCAGACTGATCCCATTCCACTTACAACCCCAACCTTTTCTCCTCCGGCTGCAGCCATGCCCCTTACCGCTTTTAACACTGGCATCACATTCTTCCCAGCCAGGCTGGGCACTTCCACACTGCATGGAATGCTGAGCACCTTCCTTTGTTTCCCTCACCTCAGTAACATTGTAACCCACAATGCAGAAATTCCCTCTCCAGACTCAAGGACTCTTTGCCTTCCTGGCTCTCCTTCTCCTCCCTCATTTTTGAGCATCTCCTCAGCACCCTGGAGGAACACCTTGCCCCCACCATCAATCTGCCTGTTCTCCTTCTCCACCCAGACTCCAGACTCTAACCCCAGCAGCAGGCACTCCCCCTGGGATCAGCCCTGCCAGGAACACTTCTCACCTTTCTGCTTTTTCACAGGCACATCCTCATCCTCTGACAGGGATTCAGATGAGGTGTGAGGAGGCGTTTTGACCCCACAGCCCTTGGCGTGGAGGGCTCTGGTCACATCATCCCAGTCCTCCGACTCCTTGGGGGGACGGTAGTTGGCCACGTGGTCCACCCGGATGGTCCGGCCCTTGATCTGCCAGGAGCCGGGCTGTCAGCACAGCTGGATCCCGCATGCCAGAGCTCCTAGCTGCCAGGACTCCTGG